CTTCTGCCCATGCACTGAGTCAGCACAGCCCCTGTTTCACTTGGCTAGGAGGAGGCACAAACGAGAGGTTCTGTCTTCCCCAGGCATGGGGGGGTCCCTACTGGCAGCAGTGTCCTCATGGCCAGTCACTGGCTATACCATACCAAGGGGAGCATAACTGTGCCCATGACTTAGAGTCTCCCCTCCCTCAAGGTATCCCTTTCTGAGTCCCAGGGTCTGGAAGTGCCAAAGAACTTCCAAGCCCAGAAAGGGTGGGGCCAGGAAGAGGTAGGATTCAGGATGGAGACAGGACTGCAGGAGGCCTCTCCCCTCTGTTCCAAGGTTCCAAGTGAGAATCTTGCGACAATAGAGAGAGGCAGAGCCCACTACCCTGCTGCACTCAGACCTCTGTTGACGCCATCAAATCTTTCCCAGCCCCCCTCATCTAGTGTTAACAATGTCCCCTTTGCACACGTGGTCCAGCTCCAGCTGGGCAGCCACAGGGCACAGGGTGTCTCCAGCCTCCTATTGGGCTGGGCAGAGGTGGGAGGGCAAGGAGGAGCCCTGAGAAGTCTACTGGGCGCAGGGCAGGCTTACCCCTCCCTTGCCTCCTATGGAACTAGAGCCTGCCAGCACCTTCCTGGGTCTCTGATCGTAAGAACAATATGTGCTGGCTCCTGTCGGCTTTATAATTCAGCACGCTCCCCTGTGTAGGGCTCACATTTGTAAGAGCAGCTGTAAGTGAGGGGTTTTCTTTTTCTTTCTTTTTTCTTATTTCTATGACAGCCTTATTGCAATATAACTCACAGATCATGCAAGCCACCCACTCAGTGTCGCAGTCACTGGTTGAGAATGTGCACAACACCGTGTGGCCATCACCAGTCTAATTCTAGAATGTTTCCATCACCCTCCGAACACCAATCCTGTCTCCTTAGTGCCTGTTTCCCATTTCTCTCTCCCCAGCCCTGGCAGCCATAGTCCCCTATCTGCCTCTGGAGTCACCTGGGTGATCCCAGGGAGTTGCTGCCCTGCGGTGTGTGGACCTAATGTCTGGCTTCTGCCACTGCATTGAGTATGCAGGGGTCACCCACATGGTGACCATCACCCATCAGTGCTTCGTTCCTTCCGTGGCCCAGTAGTATTCCACAGTGTGACCTGCCCAGTTTGCTTTTCCACCCAGCCTGTTGCGGGTGGGGGTGGCATTTCCACGTGGGCTATCGTGAGTGACATATCTGGGAGCTGCCTGCATAGACATCTATGTGGCTATATGGATGTTTCCTTCTCTCTGACACATGCCCAGGAATGGCCTGTCCCAAAATGTCTCTTGGGACACTTCACAGCTGTCAATCCTAGCCATTCCTTATGGTCGTCTCTCTGAAGGGCTACACAGCCTGTCCCTTCAAGGAAGGACGTTTGTCTGTTTCATCTGCCATCCCTCTCAGTCACCAGTAGTGACAACAGTCGGTACTCAGGAAACACCGAGTGAGTGACCAGGCCCTGTAGCCAGTCTTTTTACCCCCTACATAATAAAGTCAGTTCCTGCTGGATGTGGCACCTGTCACCTGAGCCAGCAACAGATGTTGCTGTTCTGTGTCACCGGGCTCAGTAGGTGCCAAGGCCTAAGGTCACCCAGCCAGAGGCAGCAGACAGGCCTGTCAACACTGGCGTACAAAGTCCAGAGAAGAAAAACCCTGACAGGGCCTGGGCCAGGCTGGTGCTGTCTGCTGGAACATCTGCAGACCTCCTTTGATAGCTTCTGTACCCAGAAGACAGGGATTCCCCAGTGGCTTGGCATGCACACTGTCCATCTTCCCTGGCCTGGCTCCCTATCTTCATCCTTCTGGGGTGTGTATGGGCCGGTGGGGTCACCCTTGGGGCTTCTGCAGGGCCCTACTCTGCCCTCTGGACTTGGAGCCGTTCCCTCAGAGGCCAGTGAACCAGGCCATCAGACATGGGTCAGAACTGCCATTAACTCTGTTTTAGAGGAGATGCCAAAGCCTAGAGAGATGGGTGTCCTCATCTGAGCCACACACACTGAGTGACTAAAGCAGGATTCAAACCTTTCCTTTTTTAAGGCAGGGCCTTCTGAAACCCAAGCAGACCTCAGTAAGTAGCTGAGAATGACCTTGTTCCCTATCCCCTTGCTTCCACCTCCCGAGTGCTGGGATTTCACACACCTGCTTGTGTGCGCTGAGAATGGAACTCAGGGCCTCGTGTGTGCTGGACAGACACTGCCCGATGAGCCACATCCCTACCCCCTAGCATTGTTAGTATTCATCCTTCAAGGTGTGAAGCTCTAGAATGTTCCCTTCCCCATCACTTAGAGAGTTGTCATGGAAACTAGCCCCCAGGTTCTTTCTGGTTTGAGATCAGCCTTGGTCATTTTTACCCCTCAACTCCTTGGGCAAATTCTAAGCCCGCCTGAAGATTCCAAGGCTCTGAGGAGCTCAGTTGGAGAAAATTGTCAGTCGTAGGCCAAGGGTCCCCAGATGACCTGAAGGTTGTGGTGGGTGTGGTATAGGAGGAGCTCATGGAGCTGCTGTAGGGGCCTTCAGAGCAGCAGCTCAAGCCTCCTGAATGAGTCCCACAGCCCTTGTCGCAGCCACAATCCCTCTCCTTCCCAAGTGACAGATGTAACTGGAGACCAAGTGCTGGAAGGGCCCCATAGCCCTTGCACGCTGCCTGCACCTTCAGCTCCATGCTTGGCCCATGTGGGCCTCAGTCATTGTGGCCTGTGACCATGACGTGGGCTCCCAGGCCACATCCTTCGCAGATGCTGCTCAGCGGGGGTGAGGTGAAAACCTAGCCTCGGCCCCCAGATGCTCCCTGCTACAGTTAAGCGTCTCCAGGCAGAGGCCTGCCTTCGCCAGCAGGCTGTACCAGGCACTGCGGAAGCCATGGCGGGCGAGCGTATGGCGGGCATATGCTGTGGGAACATGCTGCCCATGGAGAGGCACGTGGTGAAGGGAGTGAGCCCGTGGAGCTTGCCTCTTCTGAACACCCCTCTGCTTTCCTTCCTGGAGGGTCACCCGGTCTCCATCTGGGAAACTCCTGGTGTACTGGGGCCTCAGGGTTGACAGGATGTGCCCAGCTAGATCCCTTGTGGGCAGCAGAGCCTCAGCCTTCCATGACGATAGGACAGGGGATCAGGGCTGCCGCCTCCTCTGCTGTCTGTCTGCAGCGCCTACTAGGTGCTCCATTTCAGGCAGTGTGGACAGATTGGGGACAGGGGGATGGCCACAAGGCTGAGAAGCCAATGGTGTGTGGTTGCCACTAGAGGGCGTCCAGGCTGCGAGTACTCTGTGGAAGGGTTCCTCTTGCTGGAAGAGTCCCAGAGCCTTGTGTGGGAAGGAGCAGGCAGGGAGGGTGCTTCCTGCTGAGGGGTCTGCTGAGCACAGGCCTACAGTGAGCTGAGAGGCCAGCTGTCTGGGGCTCTGGTGACCAAGGAGGATCTAGGCAACTGGAGGGCAGTGTGAGGTTGCAGTGTAGGCTAGAGTAAGCACAGGCCAGATTTCCAAGGGGATGGGGGCAGGGGGAGATGCAGGCATGATCTGTGGGTGCTCCTGTACCACCACCTCCTGGCTATAACCAGCCAGGCCTGAGCTAACCACCCCAGGATTAGGTGCACATTGTATCTTCCGTATGTTCTGGGCTCAGAGAAGCAGACAACTGGCTTGAGTCACAGGGGGCAAGAGGTTGCCCTGGGTGCCCATTGAGGCTCCCCCTTCCCAGCCCTGAGAACTCCTCTTTCTTCCCCGGGGAAACCCTGTCTGAGCTGCTTGTCCCAACACCACTTTCAGCTCAGGTCCCTACAGATGGAACTCTCTTTTAGCCTCCTAGGCTTAGCCCTGCGCACAGTGGGTACTTAGTGTATTCTGCTGCCCTCAGCATGGCTGCTGCATAGGGAAGGGTACCCAGGTCCTCCGAGCTGGGGTTTTGAGTCACGTGGTTCAGGACTACAGTTCTTAATTGTTGCCAACAAGGGAAGCTATGCCTTGAGGTCACCCCATCCGTGCTTGGTCCCCACCTATCTGCTCTGACTCCAAGTCAGTCACCCACTAGGGGACAGGAGTAACTGCTTCTGAGGTGACAGGACAGTTGGATGGGTCAGACGCTATGGTCAGAGAATCTGGAACGGTGGGCCTGGTTGGGAGCCAGAGGGACAGCCTGATGGACAGTCCTGGTGGTGGGATGGACCTAATGGGGAAACTGGCCTGGAGGGGGTGGGGGATGGGCCTGTCTGGGCCTTAGCCCTGGCTCTGGAGCTTCAGGACACACACACACACTGTGACCTTGTCATACGTGTGGCTGCCAAGACCAAGGGAGGTAACTATCTAGTCGCAGCTGGAGGTAGAGAGACATCTGGCCTGTTCTGCCATGAGCTGAGTCCTGTGTCCCCTGTTAACCTCAGGTTGGGGTGAGGAGACGACGGGGGCTGCCTGCCCCTGCTGCAGCTCTCCAAGGCCCTGCTGCCTCAGAGCCGACACCAAACAGATGGGCCGGGAGTGGGAGACGCTGCAACAGTTGGTGCTGCCAGCTCCCAGCTCCCAGCTCAGCGGGAGTGAGAAGCGGGATGGAGCGAGTGGCAGAAGCCCAGCCTGCTGTCAGCACCTCCTGAGGGCCTCTCAGCCCCTGCGTGCCGCATGGGAGACCTCAGAGCCGACCACCAATGCCTGCCTCGGGAGGCTTGAAGGCCTAGCATGGTGCATGCTGATGGGTTGAGGCCCACTGGCCCAAGGACAGTCCTCCTAGCCTTGATCTCCCCCTGACCAGCATGGTGTCGACACTGGTTTTCCATCTTGTGTGATCTCAGCCAAGCCTCTTAGCTTCTCTGTGCTTTGCTCCCCCCTCCCCCACAAAAGTAGGGGACTGTGCCTTGCCAACACCCCGGGACTGCAGGGGCCTGTCCTGATGGAAGCCCTCAAGAGTAGAGTGTGGCGGGGAAAGGGCAATGCAGGCCTTGCCTGGGAGACCCAGCATCTCTGGGGACCAAGGATAGGTGGCTTCATAGAAAGAAGTAGCCCACTGCTGGGTTCACCTTTACATGGTCCAATGTTACTCATCTTCCGTAGTATTACCTCCATGCAGCCTGGAAGCCGCAGGGATGCTGTGCACCTCCTGGCAGAGCTCCCCGGTCCAACCTGGCCTCTGTGTGGTCACCACAGGGCACTTGCCGACCCAGCCGAATGCTCAGCCTCACAGCCCACCTGTGCCCCTCACTCGCCCTCCTCTGGCCTCAGGACATGCTCACACCAACTGAAAAAGGTTTCTTTCTCCAGAGCTGCTGGACAGCAGCGGCCAGCCACCAGCCACGTGTGGCCCTGAGAGTTTATTTAATTTCTTATGACTGTTTGTGGTGCTAGGAATTGAAGCCAGGGCTTTGCTGTGCTAGGCAAGGGCTCTGCTCAGAAAACGCGCAATGCAAGCCTCAGATCTGGGTCCCACTGCTGAGCTTCAAGTACCTTGTACCCGTGGGTAGCTGGCGGGCTGCTGTGTTGGATAGTGCTGATCTGCAACATTCTGTTGGGTTTTCTGCTGGCTGGCTCTGCTCTTCCAGTTGGGCATGTCGGTCTTTGAATTGTTGCGGCAGGACGTGAGGAGGTCAGCGAGACAAGTCAGGTGGTTTCTGTGCTAGTCTTGGAGTTTGAGGAGAAGAACATTCTGGAACAGTCTGTGTTGGGAGCTTATTTTGTTGCATTTTGTCAAATCTCAGACACAGAGCATCTGACATGAGGAGGGCGGGTTTCTGTGCATTTGTGAATCGGTTAGTATGTCTGAAAAGCTGTGAGAAGCGGCATCTCACTTAGGCGTCTTCTCCTCCTCCAAAGAGGACGGGCCTGAAGTCAGGGGACTCTACACTGGTCGTCATTTCCCTAAACCATCAGAAGTTGTCATTTTCCACCCCAGTTGGGCAGGGTAGCCATGGGTGTGAGTGCCTGGGGAACCCTGGACACTCCTCTCCCCCCTGCACCCCCTTTTCTTAGGTACAGAATAGCTGTGAGTGTCTCAGCTGAGGAGCAGGGCGCCACATCTGTGGGGTACCCGGGAGGCCTGGCCAGGAGAGAGGACTGACTCGGCTCCTTGGAAGAAGGACAGACAGAGATGGGTCCTAAGCCTGCTCCCCGGCCTCCAAGGGACTCCATTCTACTAACCTAAAGTGGGCTAGATGTGGCAGGAGCGGGACCCTTGATGTGACCCACAGGTTCCTGCCACAGTGACTTTGCACCTGGGCACCGGTTTCTTGAATGGTGAGAAGCTGGCAAGGTTCCTCCGTGGCTTCCTCGTGGGCCTTCCTGGGCCACATGCAGGATGTGACACCTGGCAACCTGGGTCTCTCCTGAGCCTCTAAAAGGGAGGTTGACGAGCCTGCTTATCTTATTCCCCAGAGTGGCTTTGCCAAGACCAGCTCTCTTGCTGCTGCTGCCACTGCTGTCCCATAGGTACAGACAGAAGTAGGCTGGGCACCTTGGCCTCCACCAACCCTTTCTCAAGGAGACAGCCCCAGGCTGACCCTGGAGACAAAGGCAACGATATCGGGGCCACTTGGATGAGTGCCCAGTGGTGTCCCCACACTGTCCTCCAAGCACCTGCCCCTTCATTAGTACTCACGGGCCTGAGTCCCAACCCCACATGGCCTGTGCCCCAGCTGCCTGGTTCTCTCCCAGGGGAGAGAACGCCTGCTGTTCTGTGCTCCCTCAACTCCTGCCAGCTGGCTGCTGTGTTGTTGCCATGGTGATCTTTGAGAATGTCAATGGGTGCTGGTTCCCTTCATCTCTATAGGCCACGGCCTCTTGCGGGAGGCCCTTGGGTTGCCAGGCAGACAGGGAGCCGTCAGAGGGTCCAAAGGCCCTGGAGCCCAGGCTGACTCTTGATTTGTGCTGGGGGCTGCCAGGGCTCAGGGCCAAGAATGTGGGGCAGGTGGCCAAGCAGCGGCCTTGGGGGCTTGGCCAGAAAGCAGTGAGCAGCAAGCAGCAACTGGGGACAGGGTGCCTGGGGCACCTAGGGTATCCCAGGGGACTCCAGGGCCCGCTTCTGAACGGTCTCACTGTGAGCTATGCCACGCCGTAATGTGAGCTGCACCTTTGCTCTGCTGTGTTCTCTGTCCTGCCCAGCTGTTGTGCACCCCTCCCCTGGGAGTTCCAGAGTTCCATAACTAAAGGCTGTGTGATGAGGCCACAGAGCTAACAACAAGCAGTGTGAGCCAGCCAGTGAGGCTGGAGCCCCTTATGGGCGGTCCATCTTACTCTGGGGTGCTGAGGCACAGAGAGGGCAAGCAGCTGGCTTAGTGTTGCTCAGGTCCAAGGAAGAAGGGGCCTTGCCTGGGGCTGTCTCATCCTGAAAGCATCTGGGATGGCGGGAGGGAGAGGGCGAGTGGCCGCAGGCATGGAATGCAGTGCTGTGTGGTCCTGCTAGAAGCTGCATGGGTCTCGCGGACAACCCAGAGATGAGCTGGAAGTGATTCCAACTCCCCAGGGAGAAGAAAACCCCTTGAATCATCAGGGCTCCCCTACCAGTGACAATGGAAGGGACATAGGGAAGGTGACAGGAATCTGGGGCTGGTGAACCCCTGGAAGCACAGGCTCCAGGAAGGGCTGGGTGAAACCACCCTCCCAGGAAAGTGCCTGCAGAGGTTGGATGACTTCCCAGACTGGGTCCATCCATGGAAGACCTATAGCAGCCCCTGTCCCTGCAGTGGCACATGGGAAGAAGTCTTCCCAGCGGCCAGACCCGGTGGTCCGTCACTCTGCGTTCACACATAGCTTTAGAGACCTTGACACTCAAGCTAAACACATCCACTCACTGGGCTTCTCCAGAAGCGGCGGGTTTCCACAGTGACAGGCTAACTCACAGGGCCTTTGTGGTCTCCAGGGAGCTGCCTGGGTTTGGATGCTGGGTGCTGGATGCCAGCTAGAGCGTCCTCTAGGCTGTGCTTGCCCAGTATATACTCTAGATCCCTGGTCTGGCCCTGTTCTGACATCCTGTGGATGGAAAGACTCGGGGGCCCCGTGTGTGGGCCTGTTCTCTCTGGTCGCAATATTATTCGCAGGAGCATCCATAACCAGGTTCTGCTGCAGGATGAAAGGAGAGTGAGGCCCGGCCTGCATCCTGGGGTAGGAATCAGCCGAGAGTAAACACAGAATGGGGCATCCACCTGAGATGGAGATCCCTCATGCTGGCATAGCGGCAGTCACCTCCTCTGCTTGGTAGGTTGGCACACCAAGGATCGGTCAGTGAGTGATTTGCCCGTGGTCCAAGCTAGGGCAGAACCAGGAACTCCAGAGTACAGACCTTGTCACTGTGCCCCACCCCCACCCCACACTGTCCCTCAGGAGACCCCAGTGTAGAGTCTGCTCCTCTGGAGCGGCATCCTCCTAAAGGCTGGCGATGGCTAATTGTGTTTTGTGGCTCTCTCGCATCTGCCCTCCCTGACGAGTGTCAGGCAGGCTCCTCAGCCTCTTGTCAGTGAGCCCTCTTTGAACACGGATCCTTTCATTGCATGGTGACACACGGCGGCAGAGGGCGACCCAGGTGAGATTGTTGGGGAGGGGGACAGACCTGTGCCTTGCTGGTGACAGCTAATTAGCACATGTCTCTGCGCCAGCCTCCAGTGTGGCAGGCTTGTTGATGCGAGGGAGTCTGTAGAGGCCTCTGAGGAAGATGGCTGTGGCAGCCCTGCCCTGGGCTGTCCCATCAGGCCCTTGTTGGTCAGAGGTGAGCAAGGCCAGATCACCAGCAGGTTCTAGACTGGCGGCTCCCCTGTGATGGGGCTAGAGCTGCAAGGTCGCAATCCATAGAGTCCTGAATGTCTGCAGAAGGTCAGCTCCCTTCAGAACCTGGCACACTCAGCTACACACAGAAAACAGGTGTCTGACTGTCGCCAAATCCCAGGGGCCGCAAGGTGTATGTCACCTGGGCCAAACCAAAGGGCATCAGCCAAGCCTTAGAGACACGGTGCAAGGCTGAGTCTCTGCACCCAGGCCATGGCATTTGGGGTGCCCCATCCTTGACTGGGTGAGAGTATTTATAGTGTGAACTCTGGGCACTGAAAGTGAGAGATTCCAGGCTGTGGCACTGGCTCTTAGGGCAGAAGCAGGTGGCTGCAGGCTGTTAGACACAGGCCTGTCCCAGGAGCTCCGGGCTCCTCAGGTCAGCGGAGCATAGCCCACCCATCCCAGAGGCTCTTCCCAGGAGGAGAGAGCTGCTGGCCCCTTAACACTTCGGGGTTGTGTGGCCCCTTCCTCTTTCCAGGTGTGTGTCTTCTCTCTGTGGGAACTATTTCTATAGATATGACATGGGGCTTACTGGGGAAACTGAGGCCTAAGGAGTGAGGAGGGGTGTTGGGGCCACAGGGAGTGCTTGGCCTGTACTCCTTTGGCCCCCACCTCTGGCAATGATTCAGAATTCTTCACCCAGCATGGAGGGAGCATTGAGGGCAGCTGAGGTTCACCCTCCAGGCTTAGCTTTGGCCTCCCCAATGGCTCCGTCACATGAGGAATAGGAAGCTCCTCCCGAGGGCCCTCATCTCCTCCCTCCCATCACCAAGATGGTGTCTGGGCCATGCCCACTTCTCAGATGGCAAGACTGTGGTGGAATACATCAGTGACAATCACCATTGGTGGGGGGGGGGGCAGACTCCCTGTCCCTGCGCTCCTGCCTCTTTAAGGAAGGAAGGAGAAGCATGTGGAGCCTCTGGGGACATGAGGGACACTAGGAAGCCTTGGTGGACACAAGCCCTCTACATTCTGACCTGTAACCTGACCTGTGCTTAGAAGCCCTAGGTAAGGACTGGCCTGGAGCTGTCCCCTGCAAGCTAAGCAGCAAGGATTCCAACCCAGCTCTGCAGGAGTCCTGTGTCCCCTGCCTGCTTTGAGAGCTTCAGAGCCTGCAGGGGTGGTTCTGCTCTCTGCCATGCCCTCCCACCTCCAGCTCTGAGCAGCTGGTTCCTTCCTGCCTCAGAGCAGGGCCTGCATCTCCTGGTCAGCTAATTATGTGGAAAATTGGAAGAAATTGCAGAAGCCACTGCGGGAAATGAGGTCAGGGCTGAAGGTTATCAGAGCAGCAGCGCCGACTCTCTCTAGAGGCCTCCCCTCCCTGAGACGGAGCTCGCAGCCCCCCTCCCCAGCCAGCTTTCCAGCTGTCCCCTTCCTCTTCCCCTCCCCCACCGTAAAATCCAGGGGAAGGTGCAGTGGGCCGCTACCTTACCTTGTTCTCCTGAGCCTCTTTTCCCAGCTGCCCTCAGAGCTCTCTCCCTGAGAGCTCCAAGGGGAGGGGTGCTGGGGGGATAGGAGAGCATCTTGTATGCACATGCACGCACATGTGGGCCCGACTGCATCCTCAGTTGTGCCAAAGTGCTCTCACACACCCAGCGCCCACATGGACAAACATTTGTTTTGTTTGTACACAGTTGAGTACCTACTGTGTGTTAGGTATCAACTTGCCTTTCTTTCTGTACTTAGCTATTTTCTTAAACACATCTGTGGTTTCCCTGATCTCTTGATTGTTTCTCTTGCTGTTCATCCTTCTGAACCTGCTGTATAGGCAGCTGCTTCCTACAGAGCCAGCGTGGTCTGCAGATATACACGCCTGTCTATACCTGTCATGCGAGAAGCAGCAGGGTGATTAAGCATGGACTGTGGGACCTGGGACTATTGGCCTTGGCTAAATGGCCTCCCTGAGCCTTGGTCTCTTCATCTGCAAAAGGGGCAGATGGTAGAAGTGTTGATATCCCTGGGTAGTAGTCAGGTTTCAGGGAAGGGCATGCACACACGTGTGTGTGTGTCTGTGTGTGTGTGTCTGTATGTATGTGGTGTATATGTGCTGTGTCTATGGTGTGTATGGGGGTCTGTATGTGTGTGTGTGTGTGTCTGGTATGTGAGGTGTGTATTTGCCTGTGTGTGTGTGGTGTGTGTGGGTGGGTCTATGGGGCATGTGGAGGATCTGTATGTGTGTGGGGTCTCTATGTATGTATGGTGTATGTGGGGTGGTATCAGTGTGGTGTGTGTCTGTGTGATATTGTGTGGGGGTCTGTGTGTGTGCAGTGTATGTTTGGGGGGGTCTGTGTGTCTGTGTGTGTGTGTATGATGTGTGTGTGGTATGTGTCTGTATGGTAATGTGTGTGATGTGTCTGTGTGTGGTATGTGTGTGTGTGGAGAGAGAGCGCTCCATGTAGCATTTGGGCCTTGGGCTGTCGGGTAGGTCAGCAGGGAGTAGCCAACTCCGCACCCTGCCTCCTCTCTGCCCTAGTCGTCTCTCTTTCTACTCACCTGGCAGTAATGGGTTCCTGGGGTCCAGTGCTCTCCTTGGGTGCCTTTCTGGTCCATGACTTGGGTGTGGCTATGGAGGCTTAAGAAAGTTTGGGGCAGAAAAAGAACTACATAGTCATTCCTGGGAAGCCACCTGTCTCGTCCTCCTCCCCCTGGTGACAAGGCTAATGAGAAGGCCAAGGTCCCTCAGAGACTGCCCACCCTACCCCCATAGACTGCATTTTATACAGGAGCCACCTCCCCTCACCTGCAGCCCCCACCTGCGTGTGATCCTAGATGGTAATCCCATTCCTGGACATAAGGAGTCAAGTCAGGAGTGTAGTATGTCTGGGCCCCAAGGGCTCATCTGAACCCTGTCTGCGAAGCTGAATCCAGTGTGGAGGAGGAGCGTCACCCACGGCTGTCCTGGACAGCCTCTGCCAGCGGGACTCTGCTGCTGCCCAGGGCTTCCCCTCCCAAAGACATCGTCCTTGTCTGCCCGTCATATCCCATCTGCCATCTCACTTCTCTTGGGACTTTAGGACCCTGAACTGTCTGCTGTCATAACTGCTCAGACCTGGGAGGGAAGAGACATAGCTGTGTCTGTCCCTTGCTTCCAGTCACTTTAATTCATGACCAAGTCCCGTGAGGGAAGGGGAGGGGTTGTGGGATCTGTCTGCAGAGAGCTCAGCCCAGGGAGTCAGTTTCCTGGGTGATTTGAGTGGGCACAGCCTCCAGGACATGGGCCGGGAGTAGCGCTTGAGACCCAACGGAACTATATA